CGAAGGATATCAAAGAGATGGCATCTTACTTGTATTCAATACAGGATTTTATTCATATTATGAAATATCATACATTTAGTACTTCATCTATTTTCCGAGGAAAAATTGAAGCGGGTCAACTATAGATAGATAAATAAAAGTTCAGCTGTAGTAGCTGGTCACCTTAACAATATTTAAAATTCAGATTTCAATTTGCATTCTACTTTTCGTTTAATAGTGACCAGAGGAATGAAAAACCAAATGGCTCTGGCCAAAGTTGCACCTGGCTTCAAGAAGGTTTTGGATTCATTGCTTGACGATACTATCTCAATTCGATGTAATTTTAATGCAGTTCATCATATGAAAACTTAAAATATTCAAGCGGCATGGATATACATTTATGCAGTAGTATAACTTGAACAGAAATCATAAAAATTATAAAAATTCATATATAATTTTATTGATGTGCCATATCAATATTTTTAATCAAAATCCCATTTTTTATTTTTCCATTGGAGTTAATTTTTATAAAAATTGAAAAGCGCATATTACTTTTTTTGATTTATGTTTAAGAGATCCTATTGAATAATCTTATCCACGGCGTTATAGTTTTACATGTTGTGCGTTACATGTTAATTATGTTATATCGCTTGCAAAAAACATTTTTATAGGTACACGATCAATTACTCGTTTCAAAAATCTACTTGGAATCAAAAAACGACAGGATGTTGCTCCAGCAAGAATTTCTGCTCGCCGAAAAACAGAAGGTTCGCTTAATCCACAGCGGCGTTCTATTAGACTTCGAAGTCTACCTGTTCAAAGATTGGCTGTGGTGCAAGGTGAGTTATCATCTGCTGTTATTCAATTCATCTCATTCAACATTTTAATATTTTTTCGAATTTTAGAAAATTACGATGACCCGAATAAAAAATGGTGTGTGTGTCGAAAGCCAGACGATTATACACCTATGATTCAGTGCGATGGACCTCTGTGCCAAATCGAATGGTTCCATATGAATTGCATCAAAATGTCAATAGCGCCCATTGGTTCTTGGTTTTGTCCAAACTGTCAGTTAAATTAATTGCAAGTTTCCACAAATAAATAAAAGGTTAATATACACAACATTTGAATTTCGATTTTGTTAAAAAACACCCAAGATATTTTAGGGGATATGTACCAATTATACATAATACCGATAGATACAGGTCAGATTTTATAAATGTAGTTAAAAGGTGCGACAAATTTCAAAATTCCAATTAAACTGACATCAACTGATATGGTATAAGTATATTTCATTTTATTGAAAAGAAAACATTGTAACGATTCATAATGATCACATTAACAATGTTAATTATAAGTGAACAGTGTTACATCATAATTCTCTTGCTTACAATTGAGCGCATTTTTCGCAGTTACAACAGAAATCCCAGACATCCTTGAGGTAGTCCTTTCTTTCATGCGCTGTCTTAAATTCCTTGCTTCCTAAATAGTCAATGAATATTTGTTCGCCTTTTTTGATATGCTTTATTGCTGCCAGATGAAAAAAATCATTATTGTCTATACGATGCTCTGCATTGGGAGTGCACGAGTGGTTCAACCGCGAGGGTGCGTCGTACACTATGTAGCGTGTACAAATGCCGTGGCATATTGGCGATTCTATTGAGAACAAATTCACTTCGATGACCGTGGCATGTTGATACGCCAAATGATAAATGAGCCGTTGGAGGTTTGGTCGATTTGATGACCGCAATTTTTCTAGCTGCATAATTCGTTTTGTAGCCCGTTGTGCAATATCATAATGTTTATCATCACACTCCTTAGACGATGCATGAAATAAAACTTCACCGTATGTCGAATATGGCGGTTCATAGTTTCGGAATTCTTTTTCGGAGCATAAAAGGTCGTTACAAAAATTGAGAAAATGTTCGATGTCTGGGACAGATTCAAGTGTATTTCTTACAATTTCATATATTGTTCGTACGATGTGACAGTCAGTGCTATCAAATAAAGAGTGACATTGGGCCCGATGAGTTCTATTTGCACTACATAGTTGACTACAGAACCACACGTCGATGCAATGATTGCATTGAATGAATTTGCTATTTGGCGATTTACCACACTGAAAACAGCAAGTTGATGACACGCAATTGATAGCCGCAAAAGCAGGTGCCACAAACAAAATTTCTTTGGCGTTGATGTCAAACCTTGCTTCGATGTAACGGCCGTAGTATTTGCTTTCTCCAAATGATAAAAAATTTCCCATATATGGAAATCCAATGTAAGTTGAGCTACTAGTAACGAGCAAATCACCATCTGGCTCGGATGATATTGTCAATTCTTCTTGCGGTGCTTGTAGTTTCAGATTGAATGATGAGGTATTTTCGATTGAATGCAACTTTCTTAAATGCCTTTTGCATGAAGAGATTGATGAAAAATTACCCTCGCAAATCGGACACAAGACAATGTAGTCGCGATGTACGGTATAGATGTGATGTTTCAGTGCTGTTTTGCGTTTGAAGCCGACATTGCACTCCGAACAGTGAAACTCTTCGAATCTGAGCAATTGTTTTTTGTACTTTCCACGTTTAACACCTTTACGAGATCCCATATCTAAAGGTAGAAATCATAGTAATCAATAATGACACATACTTTTCTTTCAATAGTTTTGTAACCCGAAGAAAAAATCGAACAAAAAGCAATATGTTCTCTCTCGACAACAAAAAAAATCAACAAAATCTTGAGAATAAAACTCATTTCTTTCACGTTATTCGTATTTACCGATTTTCACCTACCATAAACAATAAAAATTGCAGAACGTTTACGACACTATATTTCTACACTTCGTTTGGATTATTATTACAACATAGAATGAAAAAGAAATATTCTATTTATTTGAACAATTGTAATGTACAAAAAACCAACCGGCTAAGCCTATGAAGAGACAAAATGCGAATTCCCCTCATCTGTGCCATCTTGTATTCCATAGTTGAACTCAATTTAGTTACAATGAATTGAATCGAAAAAGAGAAAAAAAACAACAACAGTAACATGGCTACATAGATCTGTTGACCAGTGAGATACGTATAGCAATGGAATGAAAGAATGAAGAAAGCGTATATGTGTATGTATGCATCAGCACGCATAGATGTACAGCTCTGTGTGGCCGTGCTATTGTTGTTGTTTTTTCACTTTTTCATTTCAATGCTACAGAATTAAATTCAGTTTTTGCATCTAATTCACACTAAAATCAGATGGCGCTCATTAGCGAGATTCGCAAAAAAAAGTCTCCAATCTCATACAAATATACACCGGCTGCAAAAAACCATGAAAGAATAAACAAATCGGCACCGGTTGACAGCTACTATTCTGACAGCTGAACTGTCAAATGTGGCGCGCTTGACATGACATTTCATTGCATTTCGTACGACGTAAAAAATGTGTTAATTATAATCTGTGAGAATCGGTGCTTAAAACTCAATTATCATACCAATTACAAAATATCTCACCAAAATGGTGAGCACACATAATAAATATTACGACAAAATTCCAAATATTCTGGAATTTATTCGACAGGAAGACAAGGTTGGTTTTTTATAACATTTTTTTACTTTGTTTCTTCTGTTGCATTTGCCATTATG